AAATCATTAGCAAAAGATCTGTTTTACTTCTACAAGAGTCGAATCTAAACTTCTTATCTTCTCCCCCGTTTCCATTTTTGTATATTGATTGATTGATTGAAGAGTTTATTCAATGAGGGTGACACGTGACAGTAATTTTGGTTACTGATTAAGTTGTGGCCCTCGATTTTTTAAATTACATACTGAGTAAACAAGTCGATTCCTGAAAGAACTTGATCCATGTCTTARAACTGGCGTGCCATTCACATCAACCTTTATACCGATTCGCCGGCCTTCTCGAATTCTATTGTGTGGCTGCCTACTTTTGAACGTTCGATTTGAGCCCACGATGTGCGCGCGCTTAAAAACCGCTGAAAAATCTACAAGATTTTATTGAAGAACCATACGCGTTTTGAGCTTCAACAGGGCAAAACCCTCAAATTTTGCACGGGACTCTATATTTTTTGATAACTCATTCGAAAAAACTCCTAAAAATCTAGGTTATATCAACATCTTAGGAAAAGTTTAAATGAGGAACACGTGAAAAAATAGATTTTTGTAGATATTTTTGTTCGACTTTTTCGAGTTTTTTTAAGAGCACGGAAACTACAAAATATGACAAATCAATGTATCTCTCTGTCGTTTTGTCGAAAATATCCATGTATTTTTGTAGAAGGATTGACTAGCCTTCGTTCGTGCAATCATATAGTCTGAAAATAACTATTATCTTATTAATCTTAATTTTTTTCTAATCACTTCCGGTGGCGCAATTTTTACTCCAAAAGTTCGTGCGTAGTCTTCCATTAAATGCTGATTATCTCGAAAACGAGCTCGGGACACCCTATTTTTCTTTTCAGATTTGCAATCAGCATTAAATTTCAATTCGGAAAATCGAAGTTTTAAGAAAAGCTTAAATCAATTTCCAAAAGTAGGAAGTCACCTTAAGAAATAATGGGATGTCGAGGGGCCAACTATTGGAAAGTCTATAGACTCAATCACAGCTGTCAGGTTTATATATCCTATACATCAGCAAGACTTCAAATTATTTGAAAATGTAATGCCCCCATCTCCCTCCTCCCCTACCCCGGCCCTCGGGCATCCCATAATTCAAGATGGGAGCCTCATATCAATAAAGGTTTATCTATATATATCTTACAAATATGGTTTGGAATTCTGGTGTATAAAAGAAGTCGAAATACCCTGGAATRGAAACCCACATTTGTTATCCTTTTTCGTTCGATGAATGAAGCTAGTAAACCAAGTAACATTATTCAAGCCTCATATTCTTTAAAACAAACTAAAATTTTGTTTGCATTTCAAGGCGATAAATTTTATGGAAATTAAAACTAAAGTTAAGGCTAAAAAGGTTTAATTAGTCCTAGGTGTAAATAGGAGAATCAATCACTATTGCATCAGTTTTCCCAGTGGAATTAAAAATCTTGTCCCACAAACAACTACACAGTATCAGTTTTAAAGAGCATTAGAGGGTTACCAGAGAATCTTTTATTCTTTTTGCAGGACAATAAACTATAAAAACAATATGTAATCAAATTTCTGCGTTCAGAGTTTTAAATTCGAAAATATTCTAGCTAGTTTGTTAAGCTTGTGGAACATAGCAACGGTAACTAAGGGTAGTCGGAACCATGAATTAAAGATGAACTTAAAAACATTGGCAGGAAAGACTTTGAAACCTTGATTTTTCCCAAAAGATAAGCAAAATCCCACGAACAATTCACCATGAATGAGAAATTCCCTAAATCTTAAACCCAAGAAGGWAAAGAAGACAAGGGAATCGAAAATAAAGCTAGATTTTTAAACGACAGAAAATAAAAAGACAAACTTAATTGGGGTTTTTCTACCAGAATCAATTATTATAATTAACAAGTCAACAAGGTACTTTGGTCACCATGGTAGCAGATGGTACCTGTTGGAATASACCATGTAAATAAGATCATAAGACCAGTACGTACATCTTCGTACCGGATGATTAGAAAACATGGATGTCCATCACAGTGAAGATTTCAGTTCATCTCATAACACTGAAAGAGTTAGTTGTTTTGAAAAAGTATTGGGGAAACCAGAACACGACGAAAATACGAACCAAATATTTACAGAAGAAAATGGGTTATTTACTGATGAAAATAATGTGCAAGAATCGGATAAATACACCCATGGGAAACAAAACTGGCAAAGGACAAACGATGATTCAACTGACAGGAATGAATCAAAACGTCAATGCTGTACGAGTGTCAATACTAGAATGCTTATCTACAAGGCATTTTTCTTTTTTTTCTACGCGGGGATTGGCTCTCTGATACCATTTTTRTCCGTGTTTTATAAACAGCTCTGGCTGTCTGCCAAGCAAACTGGAATATTACTGGGAATCGGTCCTCTCATCAAGATGGTAGCCATTCCAATGTGGGGCGTAATTGCAGACTTTTATAAGAAGAGTAAAATCATTTTTATATTCTCCCTCGTAGCTTGGTTAGTAGCATATTATTCTATATCACTCGTGTCACCGGTTTTCCATGTGGGATTCTGTCAAGACAATAGTTCTATGAGCTTAGCTGAAGATATACTGAACGATCTGATCGCAAAAAACAGACGGACACAATCTCCCATCACTCCACATCGAATCCAACCCACTACAAAAAGAAATTCTGAAAACACAAGTTTTTCAGTTTCAAGTTTGGAAACTCATAATAAGGTACCTCAAGAGATCCAAAAAGTTATCAAGCGTCGAATGTTGCCTAGTTACGGCCGGAATAATAAATTACTAAAYGAAAATTTTGAGAGAGGACAAAGCAACAATATGGAAAATAATTCGTTTCTCGTTAGGAACCGCACAGATGTTAGAAGAAGTGTAACGTTGGAGGCGGAGAAGAAAAAAGATGGAATGAAAAATAGAATKAACACCTATGGATATTTAAAAAAGTTAATCCACAAACTTCGCAAATCAGATAAATTCAAAAGTGAGTTTGCATCTAAAATTTTGTCTACTGCTGAGTTACTTGCCAACTCAAGCGATGTCTTCAACACCAGTGAAATATCATCAATATTCACCCGAGAACAGTTAGAGAGAATCTTTGATTATCTCAACATGCAAGGCCACTATCCCTGGCCTTTGGACACCATTATGAATTATAAGGGAACTCAAGATTCAAACGAATGGCAGAAGAATCAGAATAATCATATGTTTACTGTGCTCTTTGTGATCACAGCTGTGGGGAATCTGCTGTCATCACCTTCATCTACTCTAGGTGACATTGCCACACTTCAACAACTTGGTAAGATAATAAATATACAAGGGCACTTTCATTCTGTCATTTTTTATTTCAATTTTTATCCAAATTGTCCAAATTTTAAAAATTATGAAAATTTTTAAACTTTAATTGSCATAAAAACATGATTGATTTTGTTTAGTTTCATCCAAGGATATTCCGGTACAAACAATATAGCTAGATCAAAGCTAATTGCCATAACAAAAAATGATCAACAGTTTTTGTTTACTTGTTTGTAACGCCTCAAAAAACCCTGGTCAGTGTGCAAATCAGTTTGACGGGAAAGTCTGTGCGTATTGATGTTATCAGGAAGGGGGGAGGAATTGCTAAAATTTYAGCATAAAATTCCCAGCATGTTCTTACCAAGGAGTTGTTTTGCTTCGTATATAGTTTCAAAAAGGCCATCAACTAGAGTGCACCTCTTGAGAGATTGATGTAATTGGTCGAGCCCTTCCATCCATCTATAACTAAGAGTATTGATTGACATTGAAAAGCCTGTTCTCTAATATCTTTTTTTTTTT